AATAATTTTCATATGTTTGACTAAATAGCTTATTTGTTTAATAATATGTATAAAAAGTAATTTCTAAATGAAACATTAAATATAATTTTTTTGGCATGTTTTATATTTATTTTATATTATTTTAAATAAAACTAGTAAATTTGTAGTATTTGTTTTATGTTATTTGAGAAATAATTTTCATATGTTTGATTAAATAGCATATCTGTTCAATATTATGTAAAAAGAATTTCTAAATGAAATATTAAATATAATCGGCCAATGAATAGTATTAATATTATAATATTATAATAATGAATAATTTAAGCATAGATTTAAATTTTAAAATAGGAAATTATTGGACATGTGAAAAGGACACGTCAAATTTTGAATTTTGTGATTCCATATTCACTTGATTTTCAAAACTAAATTCTAGTTTGAAAATGAAAATTTGAAATATTATAAAATTAAAAGTTGACTTATTTTATATCCCTGTGACGTTGAAGCACATAGACGTGATAAGCATAATTAAATTCAAGTTAGTTAAATGTTTTTTACTTTTTGTTTTTAAATCTACAAAAATTGTTAAAAATCTAAATTATTTTTTTGGATCAAATTAGGTCATAATGTTGGAGTTGGAGTTCTGTTGAAAGACATAAACATATAAATGCAGTAAAGTGATGTTGGCATGTGGGTGAACACTTTAAAAATGATTGTGCATGATCGTTAACCCTGAAATACACATGGAAAATGGAAAAAAGATCGGGTGCCACGATGCCATCATTTTCTTTTCCAAGTCCACCATGTGGATGTGGAAGTGGCACAAATAATTCATCATAAGTCATAACTCGCCCCCCATAGTTAAAAAAAAAAAACAGTGGAGGAGCTCATTGGGGGGTATTTCAAGGAAAACAATCGGAAATTATCAATGTTTTAAAAACCGGTTTTTTAGTTGAACCGGTATGGTGACCGGTTTCCGGTTCAACCGGTTCGACAGTCGGGTTAACCGGTATCTATATTTTTCATGTTTTTCCTATTTTCCTACACATACATACATATATAAATCATGAATTTGATGTTTACATATTCAAACATTAAAAATACACATAAATATAAGTTTTTGATGAATCCAAATACATTAAAATAACATATAACCATAAGTTCTAGTGTTTTACATCAATCCATATACATAAAAAAAAAAGTATAATACCGTAACGAAATATAATTTTAGATGAATATAAACACATCAAAAAACTTTATAACATTTACCATATGTTTTTATTTAGAGAAAATTAAATAGATATGAAAAAAAATCACCAAAGTTTATTATGTAAATGGTTTTTTTCATGTGTTTTATTCGGTTTAACCGGTTTATTTTTACCGGTTCAACCGGTTTTTTCTAAAAATCGGCCGGTTCAATCCGATTCAAAAATCAATGTAAAACCGGTGATAGTTGAACCGCTCCCTCCCCCGGTTCCCGCTCCAACCGGTTCGACCGGCCGGTTCAAACCGGTTTTTAAAACATTGGAAATTACCTTTGTTGTAGAAGTTATTCAATTGAGATTTAACTTTTATAGGTTGTATTTTCTTTATTTTTCTTATTTTTTAATCTGTTATTTCGGGTGACTTCATTTTTCTCTATTATTTATTGCTCTATTTTAACTTTAAAAAATGTCACATTTTACTTTTTTTTTGTTCTCAATAATACACCTTATTTTTTCCATAAATTTTCCAATAAAAATTGATTCTCATACACTCATAACATCTTTAACCACAAGTGTTTTCTCACTCGCTACACTCCAATAGACCATTTTAAAGTTTGGGAATCGTGGTTGATAGGTATTGTAGAGGAATACTCGAGGACAAGTCTTTTCGCTTGAGGGGATGATGATGTATGTTTGCAATATTGTTTTTTACACACTGTTTAAATGATTAATAATTTAGACTGTCTAAAACACGATTAGAGACATATATGTTATAGTTGGTTGGGTTAGAATTACATCGACTCTCTATATAATTTAGATGTTGGTTAACGGTATAAAGTAATTGTTGAATTATATATAACTTATACCATGTTGAAAGAATGAATGAGTGTTGTGAGTTATTGTAAAGTTGATGTAAGATGCTTTAAATATAAATGACATTGCACCGGTATAAACGATTCAACAAAGATCTTAAAAACAACTCAAATTTTGTAGCTAAAATGTTAAAACTTACATAAAAAACTGGCCTACTTACAAAAAGCGTATACATACATTTATCCACGCTCCTTTTTAACATGTTGCATTGATCCAACATGATTGAGCTTTTATAGCTACTAGTTACTAGTCCAAGCCTTAGCCTTAGCCTTAGCATTGGTTGGACATGTTGGTTTTAAGTGTTAAGAGTTTATAAGTTCTTATGCCCTACACAAAATTGCATTAAATGTTATTTGTATGTAACAAAAAGAGTAATAAAATAAAAAAACTAAGTCTCCATTTGACATTTGTCTACGAATCGATCCTATTCATCACTTGTATTCAGTCATTCACGCCGGCCATTATTAGGTTATTAGCTTTAACAATTAACAAAAGACATTTTCAAAAGGTCAACTTTATTTAATAGCCTAACAAAAGTTTAAGGAGTCAATGAATATAAAGTTGTTTGATTTTTATTTAAATTATTACAACCTTATAAGTTATTATTTCAGTAACAGAACCTTTATAACCATTAGTGGTGCATTTTATATGATTACATCAAAAATCATTTACATGTCATCCAATAAACTCGATCCATTTGTTGACAATTTCGTTTTGGCCTAAATGTTGGACACAAGTTCTTTTATTTGGGTCCCGGATTAAAATGTTAAATATTCTTTATAAAAGTTTGAGTTTTTTATCAATTAAATTTTCTAGTTAAACCACGTGAAACAAGTAATTTCCGTTAATCACATGCTAGAAATTGGTTGCCATTATTTAGAGTTGATATCGGATTTAATATCTCTAAAAACACATATAAGGAGAGTGTTTAATTTTATTTTGTGTTGGTTAATTTGAACTCGTTATTCTGTTAATTTGTTCAATCAATTGACAATTGTGTTACATAACAATGACTACAAAAATACAAGCCCATTTTTTTATTATTATTTTGATATTCTATCAAGCAGATAACAATAAAAATACAAGGCCATTTTTATTATTTGTATAACTAACTATAATGTATAAAGCTTTACCTAATGCGTTGATTATTGTAGCCTTGTAGGGTCGAGCCCACTCCACACCACCACCGGTCCCTACTCCCCCATAGACGGCCATTTGGTTCGTACTTTATCTAGAGGATTAACTGCAAAAAATATTAATATAAAAGCTTAAAAGTGTTTCTACATTATGTAAAGTTTATATAAATATGTAAAAATGAAAATTTAGTTATATCAAATGGTTAAATTTTATACAAAACAAAAAACAATACTTTATTAAACAGAATAAAACATATATCATGTAAATTATAAAATAATAAAATATCTTCCTTTACGATATACCTTTTCAAAAAATACACAATAATAGAGTAAAAAAACAATTATTAGAAACAAACGACGAAAGGAAGGTTCCAATTAGAAATAGAAAACCACATAAAACCAAGGTTTTGGATGTTTTTTTTGTTTCACTTGTTTGTAACAAATGCAAATGCAAATATTTCTTTGACATTTTTGCTGCGATGATATTATTATTACATAATGATGGTTGGTAATATTGACTAAATATCATTGTAATTCATATTTTCTGATTATATACACGAATAGTAAGAAAAAAAATTCTATGCATATATTAACTAAAATATCGATAGTAACATAAAATATCGATAATAATTTAAGTTGTTCATATATATTAGGAAACTCATTACTGAACTAGGGATAGTACCCAACATTGAAAGACCTATCAAGATGTACAAATGATAATGTGCTTTGATACTTTCAGACAAAAACAAATAGTAATCAAAGGGAGTCGACACATTTTGAGAAAATTTCATTACGTTGGAGATGTTGTTAGCATAAATAAAACATTGTTTTTAAAGTTCCTACTTATAAGAATCTTGCATATTCATTGATGATCATGTTATAGGTATTGGACTTTGTTTGAAGATTATTTAAGTTGTAATTTTAGTATTTGGGTATTTGGAACATAATCAATATTATTTAAAGATATGAATTGATAATACTTGATATAATAACTTTCATCAAATATTATTATGTTTCGTGTTACTATGTTTAATCCATAAATAAATAAATTATTTTAAACTTTCATGGTCGGTCATGCTATATTGTTATGAGAACAACTAGCATTAAGACTAATGTGAATGTTGTTCGATATTCCATATTGATGAATTTGTGTATTGTTAAGAACAAAATTCACATATACCGATTGGTGGTCTATACTAGATCAACTCAAACTTGAGATGTCACTTCATGAATTGACATTATAAATTATCGATGAATCTTGAATATTATTGTGTATGTATATCATTTTATCTGAGTATATGTTGGCTTTAGAATGAATAAATTGTTATATTTTTTATGGAATCAAATTTTGTTATGAATAATGCAATTATGCAATTATAAATGTTATTATTGGACATAAACACATATAATCAAATTTTGTTATGAATAATGCTAGTTGAGAGTGTGATATCACTTCACTCGATGAGTCGAATATACGAGTGTATGACCACTCCCACACGATATCGACAAGTTGATCAATTTGGTATGATTATCTACTCGAGTTCTAGATAAAGAAACTATCGTTAACTTAATACAAAAATAATTAGACGTTCACAAAAAAAAAAAACAATATACAAATACAACTATACACGTATTATCGTTTCAATAGATACAATGGTGAAGAATTAATAAAAAAAAACAAATATCTTCGGCCCAGAGCGTGCTTGGTAAGAAGTAAGAAGTATGGGTCCATTTTGTTAGGCCCGGTCCATGAGTCACTTGCATCCCCATTAAAACTTAAAACTAGGGTTTAAATCATTTTCCTCTGCTTTGATTTGTGAGAGTCTAACGTAACCAATCCATGGCGAAGAACAGGAACAAGAGTAAGAAAAATGCTTCCACAGCTATGAACACCGACGAGGTCTCCATTGTTTCACCTCAAGGTATATCCATACTATATCTGTGTTCATGTTTTTGGTGTGTTTGTGCTCGCGTCTTTTGTCGCTTGTTTACAGTTAAACGCCTTAATTAATGACGCATCCGTTAAATTTTCTCTGTAGTTACAGCGATGGACACGTCGGAGACTGTAACTCCTAGCCGGTCTCAAATCGGCAGGTCAGAATTGATTTTGGATACTTTATGATTTCAGTAATTGTTTGACTGAATATGTGTTTCGGTGGTTATTATTCCAAATATGAATAGTCTTGAGTTTGTTTATATAGAGCTCAATGCATAATAGGAATTAAATGGTAAACTTGTATAAAAAGTAGAATGATGTCGTGAGAAACTATTTAACTTTATAAGTTCGATGCATTTTGGATTCCTCTTAAAGTTCTCTCTATCTATCCAGAAAGAAGGGCGTACAAATGAAGCGTACAAAAAATGTTAGGAAGAAGAAAGCCATAGCAAAAGCTGTTTCTCAAAACGAAAAATCTGCAACCAAAATTGAGAAGAACGAAAGCAAGACATTGAGAACCAAGTCAGCAAAAACTCTATACGACTGACCACTTGAGAGCATTTGTATTGGATATATATACATAGGTGTTGAAAATTCTATGGCTTCGATTATTTATAGTTCTGAGTTCATCATTTTTGTCTATGTTTTGGGGGATGGATGAGTTCACTTCTAATTTGATGTTAGATGATTTTCAGGCATATTTTAGTATATCATCTCACTCATTTTGATGCATCTCATGTACATAAATGTCATGTATACCACCCACATTTTGGGACTTTTGCATTTTTTTATTTTAGTAGAATCGTCAAAGTATCCGAGTAGACGTCAATTCAACTAACATACACATGTCCCAAATTGTGTTTAAATGCATGACATATTCAAAAGGAATGCATTGATAATGCAGGGATATGATATTAAAACATGCATAGAAATTCATCTAGTTTCTAACGCTTCGTTTTGAACAAAATGCTCCAAATCAAATTGCTACTTCACGTAGCGTTTAACAAAACGTTACTAGTTACAAGCTATCCGCTACCAGTTACTTTTGTCGAATATACTCATTGTATATTGTTGTATGCTATATTTTGATACTCTATTTTGTTGATCTGTATCTAGTGTAAAACAAGGTGATCTTGTATCGATATTGTACTATGTATTTTGCCTTGTACTATGTATTTTGCCATTATAAAAAACGTATACGTAGACAAGCTTTTGACGAATATTTGTATGGAGTTTTTTTTTTTTTTTTACCATGTGGTGGCGGACTTGGATGGATTGAAATTCAGTAGTAAAACTTGGTACAAATTGGTAATTCACAACCATAAGAATAAGCAAGACACCTTTTTGTTTTCTTATCAATGTATTTAGTGTCATAACTAATATTATTTTTTCTCTGCTGGCCACTTGCTTGGATCCCAAATAATTGCAAAAGTGGAAAAGACTTTCATAGATTGGACTACAATTGTAGAAAAAAAAAAAATGGTTATATGTATGCTACTAAAAGATGTAACTCGTATCGTATTTTCATAATTATAACATACTCTTTTTTTTTCAGACATACATGATCAACTTTATGTATTAATATCACACTTCCATTCATATCAATTGTTTTATATTGATGTCACTACCACTTTTACTAGTAATTATCAACCCATACACACATATAAATGTCAAGTTTTGTTCCATATCTTCATATACTTTTGATCTTTAAAAACAAGTATATACCCGTTTCTTAACCATACACTAGCTCATTTGATTTTATCCACCAATTTTCCAAATTATTACGAGGTTTGGAGGCCGCCCAAAAACTATTTCAACCACTTAATGACAACGTAAACAACAATACCAAATCCGATAAGAATGAGGCAAGGAAGAGTTAAGACCCTACTTCTACCTGAGGGTGGAGATACTGCTTCCATTGATAAGGAAAATGCTATCTTTTCTCTTTATTATCCAAGCGTTAACCAACAATGGATGTTTGACTACAAAAAAAAAGTAATGCAACGACCCGGAAGTTTGAATATTGACTATACACTGTGCAAGATAAAAAGTTAGTCCTAGGGTATATGTTAAAGTAAGTTGCTATTTTGCAGAAGGCATCCTACTTTGACGTTGGATGTGAGAGGGAAGAGGATCGTGATGCGTGTGTGTGTGTATTGATGCGATGCGTCTTGACGTCTAGATGGCATATGACATGTGGAGCAAGGATGTGACACATGGTAAGCGCGACACACAAATATGATACATGGTCGGGTACATAACACGTGTAAGCATGTGATTATCTTTGGATGAGACACATGGCCAGTCCAAAGATATAGTGGGTCCATGGCGAAAATAAAAAAATATGCCCCCCAAAGTCATAAATATAATAAAAAATAAATCGGAAATAAACATTTAGTATGGGAGAATGGGGATGCCAGAGTTCGATCCTTGGTGCTAACAAGAATTAAAGTATTAACACTAACATCTAACCAGTCAAGCCGCCGTTCAAAAAAAAATCAGAAATAAACATATCATTACAAAATTCACTATTAATACTAAAAAACACAAATATGACCACAACATTACAAAAAGTCAAAAACAACTAATTTAAAGAAAAATATTTTTCTTAGCATTTTTAGATAAGTTAATTTTTTTTCTTTCTATATATACTCTAGGAATTTTAGGCCCCTTAGAGACATGGGCCCTGGACGACCGCCCGGGTTGCCCACCGTCTGGGTCGGGCCTGATGAGACACCTGGATGCGACATGTACATGAAAGTAACGCAGTGCATATGCATGTGATCCAACTTAGTATAATTGAATGAAGTGCTTATTCGATGGTTTCTTTAGCGTATCGAAATCAGAATCGGTGAAAGTTGATTAAGGGTTAGAGACGGGAATCTTGAGGTCAGTTTCAGAGGGCATAACTGTTGAATGAGCTTAGGTTTTAGACAATGTGATAAGTTGAGAGGCAGCGCAAGTCTAAAAAAACATAAGTTAGTTGTCACTAACTGGCCATGTAAGTATGGAAGGCTATGCTAAGACATATAGAGGTGAGCCAACAATAGAAACTGGACTTAGTTTCTATAATATAAGTGGATTTATTGCTTACTATGGTTTTGTTTGTATCATTTGTAGTGCCTGAATCGAAGTATTATAATTGTATTTCTAAATGAATTGGAAATTTTGGGACCATAATTTTATAACTGGCGCTCATTGATAGAAAATGTTTTTAAAACCATAGTTTATTTTGTTGTATAAAAGTATGAGTGTTACAAGTAACAACCAACAAAGCCGAAAGAAAAAATTGGGGTAGAGTAAGCAATGCAAATACTACATATAACACAAACATGGAAAATGAATACAAACAATAAAGCATGAAACAAATACTAGCACGTAAGGCTGGAAGTAAATATGAGATCATGAGACAAGAGGAAGACGGTAAATATCGTACAACAAGTCCAAATAATGGAAAAGAAGCTAATACCTAAACTACTAATGGACTACTCACCTACACCGATTTTAAGCCCATGTACTCACCTACATTGATTTTAACCCCATGTACCCGGTAAGAGTAAAGTCCTTCAAGTTTAACCTTACACAACCTTCTCACTTCCTTCTCGAACGTCATCTCCTTCTTGCATCATCGGAAGTGACCGTATCCACCCTCCTAACCACAATTGTCGGCGGTCTCCTAGTAACACGTCTAAACTACCATAATTTGTTTTTTCTCAATTTCTCAGTGATCGACACCACTCGCATTGATATTTTCAATTGTCTACCTAACGTCCATCACAACATCCTCATTTCCATGACTTTCATCTTAATCTCATGCTTCCTCTTAATCAACCAACATTTTGATAAATACAACAAAGTTGGTATCTTTTGCTTGGATAATTAAAATTTTTAAATCAATACACTATGAGGATGACTAGAGAAAAGATGAATGAGCAAATGAACCAATCCAGAAGAAAAAAAACAAGAGAAAAAGGAAGAAATCTATAGGCCAGTCAACCAATTGCTTTTAAGAAGTCAGAAAATTATGCTCAGAGTCAGAAGCTAAATCAGTTGAAAATTCAACACTAAATTCCAATGAATTTTGACAAAAATTGCTCCATTTCCAACAAGTTTTCGGGTCTTTGAATCTTGATATTTATTTTGCTCACTCAGCCGAAGAGCCTGCAATAAATTACATTCCCCAAGTTCCCTCTCTACAAAAGAGTGGTTTTCCGGCATTCAAACCCCAAACCCCATATTCTTTCTAACAGTCTTTCCCTCTCTTTCTAGGGTTTATTGATCGTAATTACAACTTGCAAGCTTCAATGGCATCTTCATCATCAAAAGCCTCTTGCTTTCAGTGCCAGGATTCAACCTCCAACTGCTTCAGAGACGGATGGAGACTCCGTAATGGAGAACGCGCTCACCTCTGCTATCAGTGCGCGTAAGCCCCCTAACCTCGCCTTCTTCTTCTTCGTCATTTGAATGCTCAATTTTGTTCGTTTCTTGTTCTTCAATTCGATGTGCTCTGCCTGATGCTCTCCTCATCAATGCTCTCTGTGATTAGCGGTTAGCTCATGTATTACGAAATTCACTGACTTTTTTGGTTAACATCTGTTGATTGGAATCTTGACTTGCGTATCAAGTAATTTTGTAGGATGTTTCTAAATTCAATTGGCTCAATTGCATGGTGTAGTTGATTGCTGCAAAATAAATACGGAGATTGTTGACTGATAATTTGTGCTGATGTTGTTGACACCTTCTTTTCTTGATCAATTTAGTTGTGTGTATGAAGAAGGGAGGTTCTGTGAAACATTTCATTCCAACGATGATGGTTGGAGAGACTGTGAATCTTGTGGAAAGGTTCGTACAATGTATAATTCCGAGAGTACACTTCTTCCATTTACATGTTACCCTTACCTTACATGTTCTTAATTTGCAGTTAGTCCATTGTGGATGTGTTGTGTCATTCAATCAATATTTTCTTCTGGACTTTGGCGGGGTGATTTGCAGAGAATGTTCCAAGAAAAATCTAAAGCTGGTAAGATAGAATGGAGCTCACTCTCAATTTCATCAAAACATGACTTATATATATTGGATCAAAGGGAGTGATTCACATGTGTACTAACGAAAAAAAAAAAAAAAAGAAGAAGCAAAAATGAGGTGGCTTTTTTGTACATGGTTTTGTGTAAAGATGTGGTTCCTTGTTGAACTAAAGCTAAAACTAAAACCCTAATGAAAATAAAATAATATTATAGGCACGAAATCAGCGTTATGCGCGTGAATTTCAAACGGATCCAACAGACGTACCAGATCTTGCCAAGAGAATACAGATTGAACCTCACTATTGGCCAGATGGCATTGTTTCAGACATAAAATGCATCTCAAAAACGTATCCTCTCTCATCTTTATTTAATTTTCAATATTTTAATCACTATTTCATTGTAAAATCCTTAACGGATCATCAGCGCGAAACCTTTTCTGAATCCTTTGTTTGAAAAAGTGTTGACTGCTAGTGATGCGGACATGAAGTTAGGCCGTATAGTGATTCCAAAAAAATACGCCGAGGTGTGATATAATATAAAGTATAAACTTTCTTAGCATTTTTTCTCCCACAAAGGTTTATATTATAATTGAGCAGGCATTTTTTCCGGAAGTTTCTGCACCAAAAGGGATAATGATGAATATTTTGGATATGGAAAGCAAAGAATGGGAGTT